AAAGAAATTCTGTTAAACTTGTATTTGTTTAAATTACAATAGCATAACTTACAAAAAAAACTGACGAACGTTATCTTCAGACATACTATAACAATATAAAACTAAATGTTTTTCTAAATTATCCATATTAAAATTATGTCGTTTATCTGATAAAAAATGTTTGTAAACAGACAATGTTCTTTCCACTTCGCAAGAAGTCACAGGTGCACATTTAAAATATGGCAAAAAATTAAGCGGAATTTCTGGATTTTCTGTCGTTCTATGCCCTTCTAAAATGCTGTTTATGTTAATTAATTGCTTAAAACCCGAACTTTTATCGAGTACAAAACTAAACTTATTTTTAATTGTACTTGCTTTAGAAGAACAAGAGTCAATTTTTTCTTTAGCAGAAATAAAAGCACTTATACTTTCGCTTAGCGACAGACCTCTAGTTTCTAGTTTTTCGATACATTTTGAAAGAAAAACAAAATTATTTTCGATATACGTTAATTCATTTTTTACATGAGGATTATTTACAATAGATTTGCATTTGTTAATAGCCGTACTGTCGGAAGAATCAAATACTTCNACAGGACAACTTAGAGAGTTTGGTTTTACATAAGTATTTAATACCCGTTGCCTTGCATTTGGCAACGAATAATTTTTTGCATTTCTCTGAGTTTCTACAGCAATCCTGTCTGAACCAATATTAGAGTTTTTTGTTTGTTCCAATGTTTCCAACAATTGGCAGCGATTAGATAAAAATTTAATTAATTGTTCTAAATTAGGTATTTCGGAATTCATTGATGTCTCCCATTCCTTTTTGCTTACTAAATCTAATTTGGTATTAATTAAATATATTAATAAGATATCCCACTGTTCGGTTGGTAACTCTAAAGTTGAGATAGACCTAAAGTGAGTGTTAAATGAGTCCAATAATCGTCTTAAAGAACTGAAAGAGTCTTTTTGAACAATTGGTAGATTGAATAACGCATTAACATGCCCCTGAATAATAAGACGTTTGTTTTGGAATCGTTCTCTTAATAATTGCCAAGCATTTGTATAGTTATCGGCTGATGCAGTTAACGAACTGATTACATGAGCAGCCTCAGAGGTAAGACACATTTTCAGATAATGAAATTTTTCAATCTTGGTTAAATTGCAATTTTCATGAATAACTGAATTGAATAAATCATAGAAAGACAACCATTCTTCGTAATTACCACTAAAACGAGGTAGTTCGATTTTCGGTAGCTGAATATTATTATTAATTGTTTGCGACGGACTTTGATTATTAGAAATGTTGTTGCTACATGCGAGATTACTGGGAGATAATGAATTAATTTTAGCATTGTAACCAGCAAGTAAATTATAATATTCATTTTCGAATAAGCCCCTTTCTTTATTATCGATTTCTGACTTGTCTAATAGTTCGATTTCGAATTGCACGTTTTCGAAATCGTCTAATACTGATTTAAAACCTTCCAATCTACTAATTAATTGATCTTTTGTGTGAACACTCTGATCAAAAGACTCTAAAAAATGTTTCGCCCTAGTCAATTTTGATTTCAAGATAGCTCTCCTTTTAGTGAGGCTCTCTATATCCGCCATAATATTGAATTAGTATTAAAATTGACACAAAATTGAAACAATGACAAACGAAGAATTCCTTTACAATAAGGAAAAAAGGAAAATATAGAATCGGTTGGGAAAAACAATGCCACTTACCTTGTTTCGACTGTGGAATGCTGGTTATGCTTACGACGAAAGAACGGCTCGAATGAAGATTCCTGTACAGCTGAATACTGGCAATCGGGGAATCGGAAAATTCGGAAAATATCCGGCTCGAAGGACCAATGTTCGGTGGTTGCAGTATTCGCTCACTGCCCCATATATTCTTTCGGAT